TAGGGGACCTAAATATTTGAGTTAGTGCTTTAGAATTAGGGGAACTAATTTTTAGATTAGTGCTGCCCACCACTGTATAAAAACTTAACAGCAACTTTTTCTTTACAGAAATATTATCGTGAAGGTTTTGTTAACACCATCAACAAGGGTTATTTCCTGCCCAAAGATGCTGTTTCTGTGCTGGCTGCCAAAGCATCTCGTGATATCGTCAGCGACGTAAGTTTGTTTCCCTTATGTCAAACATCTTCATAATGTCATCTCTTGATTTTACAAATTAATTCCCCTTTGCTCAATCTTTTCAATGCATATTTGAAATATGGCTGTACAAAGTTCAATGTGATAAAGACTGATGGACATTTTTTAATGAAACTTCCAGTACAAATACAAGGCTGGTTTCCGCAAGCAGTGCGGTCATCATATTGGTGCCCTCAGTGTTAAGGATGACCCGTTGATCATGCTGGCTGCTCATGTTGCCAAAATCTCTAGCGACAATATCTATAAGAAGGAGTTCAACAAGACCAAGACCAAGTACCACCTCCCAGTTGACATGCTGACCATCGAACTGGCCAAGAAATGTCAGCAACAAGTCAATGACTTCAACTACAGAACTCACCTTCACCAGTGGACTTGCCTTCCAGACTCTAATGATGTGGTCCAGGCCAGAAAGATCTACGACTTAAGGAGTGATGTAAGTACTACATCAATCATAAGTTTTACCGGCATTATTTCCAAAAGCACTAACATCACATTCTGTTGGATTAAAACCCATGCTTGTTTATTTTAGGCTGTTTACAAAGCCGATCTGGAGTGGCTGAGAGGATGTGGCTGGTCGCCCCACGACTCTGTGGATGTTGTTAAAGTTAAATATGCCCAGAAGGTTCTTAATGAACGACTTTACCGCCAGCACCCAAGCACCGTCAAGTTCACCAGTGTTGTCGACCTACCAGCTATTGTCTTGTCAAAGCAGAATTCTGACATCCTCAGTGATGTGAGTGTTACTGCCTTAACTACAATTGTGTTTCTTTGATCAGTTTTAGACTTTATGATAGGTATTTGAGAATATTTTAATAAAGATCTGCGATTTCTTTTTAACAGAGGAAATATAGGGAGGTCTGGGACAAAGACAAGCTGGTCATACATATTCCACCTGACATCCCCCCGTATGAATTGGCCAAGGCCAATGCCATCACAATCAGCAATGTAAGTCTGGCTTGACAATAGTGTTTCAAGTGCAAAAAAGATACCTAAATAATGTGCATGTAAATTTTAATTGTATTTTTCTTTTGCCTGAGCAGAAACTTTACACAAAGGCATGGGATGAACAAAAGGCTAAAGCCTGCAACGTCAGAGAGGACGCCATCTCTGTGCTTCACGCCAGAGCTTCTAGAGACATCGTTAGTGATGTAAGAGATAAAATCTTTGTAGTAAAACAATGATCTACTTGCTGAATTGTCATTCACCTTTTGTCCTCTTTTTTTCTATTATTAGTACAAGTACAAGACAGGATACCGCAAACAGGTCGGCCACCACATCGGTGCCCGCTGTGTCCAGGATGATCCTCTCATCATGCTGGCTCTGAACTCAGCCAAGATCGCCAGTGATGCTCTGTACAAGAAGGACTTCAACAAGTCCAAGACCAAGTTCCACCTGCCAGTAGACATGTTGAACCTGGAGCTGGCCAAGAAATGCCAGATCCAAGTCAATGACTTCAACTACAGAACTCGCCTGCACAACTGGACCTGTCTGCCGGACTCCAACGACGTGGTCCAGGCCAGGAAGGTTTATGACCTCCGGAGTGATGTAAGTTAATGTCAACATGTGTGGCCAGTATTTCATCAAATACACTATCATTCTTGAAATTCCCTGAAGACTTTATGTCCTAATTCAAATAAATCTGTTTTCTTGCAGGCTGTGTACAAAGCTGATATGGAGTGGATACGTGGCTGTGGATGGTCCCCCCATGAATGTGTGGATGTTGTGAAGGTGAAGCATGCACAGAAGATCCTCGCTGATGTAAGTTCAACAATTGTCTTACCAAATGCTTTTAATACATGATCTTTTTAACATTCATTTTGAAAAATACAGCATCTTTAGCATAGTCGGTAATGCTGTTTTTATTTGATCATTTTTTTACTGTATACTTCTTTTTTTAAAACAGAGAGGCTACCGTGTCAAGTTGGATGAGCAGAAATACACAGTTCCTGTGGACAGAGTTGACCTGGCCTGTGCCAAGAATGCTGCTGAGGTCTTAAATGAGGTGAGGCTAAAGCTGAAAACATACTCCCTGCGAACTGCRGACGGTGGCACGGGTTGTCGCAGTTTAATGAGGGCTTCTCAGCATCGTGTCGACAGCCCCTTTTGGCACAACCCTCTGGCAGAACTTTTGACCCCCCTCCTGTGTCGACGATAATGTGTGATTGGTCTGAAGTTCGTGGGCGTGTTTGTTTGTGCTAAAAGTGCTCGGGGGGGACGACTCGCTCCCAGAGCCGAAACCAGGAACTAGAGTTTTATAAAGATAGTCAAACCGTGAAAAACTCATGAATAGAAATAAAACAGACGTTGTGCACGGAGGAATCTGACGGATAAAAACTGTGGAGCTTTAACCAGGACAGATGTGGACAAATACGTCGGGTGAGTGACGAGTCTGACCATCGGCTGTTGCTTGGGGAACTCCATACAGTGACGTATGCTGCAGCGGGAGGGGGTTTTTCCGAGCTTGGCGCGGGGTGTCTCAGGAACTATGAAAGATCTGTGCAAAAATGACTGCCGAACAACCACGTGACCGCACGTCGACCAGTCGACATCGGAGCGAGTATGTTTCAGGCTTAAGATTTCACCATTAAAATGCCAATATTCAGTGTTTCTCAGACATATATTTAAATACTATACCATAATAAAGTATCTATGTCACCT